TATAGCCCTCGTGTAGCTTTGCGCGAAATTCCAAAACAAACAAGCTCTTATTTTTCAAGGGAGGCGATAAAATTGCCCAAATAATTATAGACGTATTAGTTTCACTTCAGTGGCAGGAAAAGTTCTGAAAGTCTGATAAAAATATACTTTGCAAAATCATTTAACAAAGTGTAAAACTTTGTTGGATAGTTAAAATTGTTTCATAAGGAAGAAAGTTTGTCTTATTAATCTTTGAAGAGGTCATTACTTATGTAGAAGAGGGTAAGGGTTCGGTAAGCATTTTGTACCTTCTCATTTTATTGGAGAATTTTTCAAAAATTTTTTTTATCTTGGGTCTATGCAATTTTCTAACAAGTCGCGGTCAAGAAAACAGTTACATTGTCTTCATTCTAGCTGTCTTTATAGATTTGTTGTTCTCTAGAGATAATGCCTTTTATATTCATAAGATATATTGTTGTAACGCTGCACATAGTGCAATAAGATCAACGACAGTTGTGCTTCCAGACTGGTAAAGCAGATGATATGCAGAAAATATCATCTCCCCTATATTAAAAAGAATCATCAGTTATGTGAGTAGCGTTAGTTTCTATGTGTAAATCCAACGTTTCCCCTTACGTACGAAACGCTAAATTTGAACATTACTACACAGAATCTCAAGTGACTCAGTTTATTGGAAGACATCTTGAGGGAAGAAACTCTGTTGATCGATTCATAAGCTGAGTAACAGGAGACCATCCAGTGTCCGAAAAGCAAGTATGCACACTTTGTTTTTCCAATGAAGTAGAAAAATATTGCTTTCATTCTGTTTAATACATCAAGTCCAGTCTGTTAATTTCGTTTCTTTAATTCAGTTAATTTTGTTAAATTTAGACTTACTTCGTAATTTATCCTGCCAAACCCCCATTATAAAGTAGATTCACTTAACGCTCTTTGAAGAAACGGTCAACTTGAGAATATAACAAGGGTGTGGATTTGGTACATTGAATATCCGAAAAGCATTTGACAGGATGCTATACAAAAGTGCGTTGAAAGTTATCTCCATAGATGTGGGAGATAAATGGGTTCGTTGGATAAAAAAAATGGCTGGAAGGAATGAATAAGAGGGTTATTATTCTTTACCTTAAGAATATTTGGAAAGGGATTCAAATGAGGGCTACTTGGATGATACTGTTAGTTAATTTTCCGTTAAAACTCTTACCGAAGAAGCTTT